AATTGGCCTGTGACCCGTGGGCGTGGGCAGCCCGAAGCCCGGGCCCGGGACCGGGTCAGGGCGGGCCCGGCCCGGCCCGTTGACAATGTGAATATTCACATTGACATATTAACATTCACATTGATAGGAGTGTAAAATTGGTCCGTGGCCCGTGGACGGTCCGAAGCCCGCCCGCTGCCCAGGGAAGGCCTGGCCCGGCTCGTTGACAATGTGAATATTCACATTGACATATTAACATTCACATGGATAGGAGTGTAAAATTGGCCCATGGCCCGTGGGCGGCCCGAAACCCGCCCGCTGCCTAGGGCGGGCCCGACCCGACTCGTTGACAATGTGAATATTCACATTGACATATTAACATTAACATTGATAAGAGTGTAAAATTAGCCCGTGACCCGTGGGCAGCCCGAAGCCTAGCCCCGGGCCGACGCGGGCCCGGCCCGTTAACAACGTGAATATTCACATTGACATGTTAACATTCACATTGATAAGAGTCTAAAATTGGCCCGCGGCCTATGGACGGCCAAAAGCCAGCCCGCTGCCCGGAGCGGGCCCGGCCCGGACCGGCCCGGCCTGTTGACAATGTGAATATTCACATTGACATGTTAACATTCACATTGATAAGAGTGTAAAATTGGCCCGCAGCCCGAGGCAGGCTTGGCCCGACTCGTGACAATATGAATATTCATATTGACATATTAACATGCACATTGATAGGAGTGTAAAATTAGCCCGCGCCCCGTGGCTGCCCGAAACCCGCCCACGGCCCGTGGGCAGCCCGGGGTGGGCCCGACCCGGCCTGTTGACAATGTGAATATTCACATTGACATGTTAACATTCACATTGATAAGTGTGTACAATTGGCCCGTGACCCGTGTGCAGCCCGAAGCCTAACCTCAGGCCGGGGCGGGCCCGGCTCGTTGGCAATGTGAATATTCACATTGATCCCCTAATTGTTTTGGGACCAAGCCACTGAGCTTATTTGCTGCCAAGTTTAGATTTTGTAGGTCAAATAAGCTACCAATTTCTAGTGGAATGTTGCCAAAAAGTTTGTTATCACTCAGAGTAAGGTCGAACAATGAGTGCAACTTTCCCATATTATGTGGGATCTCCCCAACTAGATGATTTGAAGAGAGGTCAAGTACATGTAGTTGAGTTGCATTTCCAAGCTCAGACGTATCCTCCCAGAAATATTATTGTTGGAGATCTTCAGGCTTGTCAGATTATGACAAAGTCCCCATTTTGGAGATAGCTCACCATATAAATGATTAAAACTCAAGTCAATATAATTTTAGTTTGGGTATACACCGAAATCTTCTGATATATTTGCTACAAGTTCGTTTCTGTCAAGCCTAAGTCTGCAATCTAGCACAAACTTTCAAGCTTTTTGGGATCGAACCTGTGAGGTTATTGTCAGATGCAGAAAAATATTCAAGCAATCCACCAAGGCATACATTGTGTGGTAAATGACCTGTGAGCCTGTTAAAAGCTAACTGCAAGCTTTGTAAATGTGTAAGATTATTAAATGACAGAGGAATGGAGCCAGATAGTTGATTACTTGATAAAATCAATTGTTTGAGCTTATTTAAGTTTCCAATACTAGAAGGAATGTTTCCCGATAGTTTGTTGGCATAAAGGTTCAGAATGGTTAAGTTGGCCAAGTTCCCTATAGGGGTCGGGATTGAACCTGTGAGATTATTTGTTGACAAATCAAGTTCATTGAGAGACACAAGCTTTCCAATTTCTTGAGGGATAAACCCAGAAAGTTTGTTTCCATAAAGGTATAAGATGGTTAAATTGGTCAAGTTCCCTATTGAGGCAGGGATTGAACCTATGAGGTTATTAAAAGTGAGAGACAACTTATGTAGAGACCTTAACAATCCGACTTCTTCAGGGATTGATCCAGAAAGTTGGTTTTCATAAAGGCTTAAAATGGTTAAGTTGGCCAAGTTTTGTATAGAAGTAGGGATTGAACCAGTGAGATTGTTCCTTGACATTTGGAGATCAATGAGAGATCTTAGCATCCTAACTTCTAGAGGGATTAGTCCAACAAATTTATTTTTGGTAAGGTGTAATTTGGTTAAATTACCCAAGTTTCCAATAGACGGAGGTATTGGACCTAAAAGATTGTTAGAATACAAAAGGTGTTCCCTGAGAGAGCTAAGCATTCCTATTTCGGATGGAATTGTTCCTGGAAGACGATTGTAGGACAAGCTTAGGTAGGTGAGTCTCACAAGGCTACCAATGTTTGAGGGAATGGTCCCATGGATTGAGTTGTTATAAAGTTCAAGGCTGACAAGATGAATGAAGGAAGAGAAGTTAAGATTGAAAAGTGTACCTCTCAAACCGTAATTCTCAAGGTCTATATGGGTGACTCTACTGGCTTTGTTGCATCCAATTCCAACCCAACTGCAATGGTTGCTTGCATCCCAAGATGATAGAAGAGATTGGCTCTGGTTGTTAAGGCTAGCTTTCCATGTCAAGAGAGTGACTACTTCAGTTCCTTCTTCTCCAAATTCTCTAGTTGCAGAAGAAGCATGAGTAGTAGAATCAGAAGAAGAGACGAACGCAAGGATGATGATAAAAACAAACAAAACTTGGAAATGAATGAACTAGTTGGACAACCTCCTTACTAAGGATGTCATTGTTGGTTTGTTACTTCCAACAATGAGGAGCAGTTGTTTGGATGGAAGGATGATGAAGGGCATGAAGTTCTTTTGGTCCATGGAAAGGTATTTATAGATAGGAAATGCAATACATAATCAAATACTGAGTTATGAAGTTCACACTGGTTCAGTTTGATAGACATACAAGATCTCATATCTGCATGAAGGAAATGGGGAAGAAATTCTATTATGATTTACACATCATATCCTTTGAATAATGATTTCCTATAGTTCAAGCACATCTCTCTTTCTTAGTTTCACGTTGGCCTAATGAATGAAAGTCAGTCTTTTAGTAAGCTTTCATACTTGAGTTGTGTACTTTCCATTGAATTATAAAATTTAATCATCATTTCACTCAATATCTATCTGACCTTTGATTTGCTACTATTGTTTTTCTTCTTTCATTTTTGTTTTTACGGTTCCTTTCCTTTTCCTTTTCCATTTGTTTGACAAAGTGATCAGCCTTTTAAAAACGTCGTTGCAATAGACTCGTACTGCATGCTAATTGGGGAAGGCTTAGGAATTTCCAATAACTAATGAAAGATATAGATATATGAGTTGACCAAATAAGCAGTGGTTGGGCCTCCAAACCTTTTACTCACTTCTCAATTCTCACCATTGTTCTACCATGCATAGGGAAGGACATACTATAGTAATTAGATTATCAGTAATTGTAAATTCTCAAAAATCTTATTTGCCTATATAATTTTGAGTATTTATAAAAGAAATTAGCATTTTAAACCTCCAAAATCTATATGAATTTTACTTACGTGCATAAAAAATCTTATAATTTCACCTTATTTCGTATTTTTTACAATTTCTGGATTCGCCATAGCCCTTTAACATTGGGGTCCCCGGATCGAAGTTGGAGCCGTCTGCTTGGACTAGAGAAGTTTGTTTGTGCTTAATTTAAACGAGATCTCTCATAATTTGTCAAACAGATATCTAGTCTCCATATCTATATATCTATCTATATCTATACTATATATTAAGCAAAATGGGGGTTTTTAACCCCCAAGGCCTGTGGGAGTTTCAATATCCCAATCTGAATTTTCTAAATTTTTTATTAAAAAAAAAAACTCAGCATTTATTGATTTGGTCAAAATCCCTTGATCAACATTTTTTTAATCCACATGTCTTTCCACATGCCTGCATTTATTCCCCTCATACAAATAATTATAGATACAATTCGTGTATAGTGATAAGATTGTTAAATTATTTTTATAAAAAATCTTAAAAAACATAATTTATATATTAAAAAAAATCTAAAACAAATATAAATATCTATAGTGATTCGTGATTGTGTGTTGTGGTTTATGCCTTGTGTTTCTACCCTTTGTTTCCTTATATTTGAGTTTGGGTTATGTTGAGTGAGTTTGGAACAGGTTGGTTGTGAGTTGATGCAAGTGGTTGCTGCCCAGGTTTTTGTCTCTTCGCTCGAGCAAGGCTTTTTGCGCTCGAGCGAGCCTTGGGTATTGTAGACACTCCATTTTTGACCGTCCTCAAGACTTGGATATGCTTGCAGGTACATCCAATGACAAGTTCGATTGCTCGTCGAGTACTCGAATTTCGCGGCGGAACGTCACAGGTTTGAGCTTTCCAAACCCTGTTTCCTTACTGTCCCATTTTTGGACCATGTGTTGGTCCTATCAGCATGCTTATTATAGTGCACTGCCGGCCACTTTTTGGAACTGTCGGCCATGCATTTATTCTTGCCGGCCATTTACAAGGCCTGTCGGCCATCAATGACGCACTGCCGGCCACCACTGATGGCCAGCAAAACACCTTGTCTCAGCAGATTTTGTGCTAGATCTTTTGAACCAGCTGTTTTTAACTAATCCATCCTCCATACACGTATGGAGGGATGGAGGCCATTTCAAGCTTGTTAAACAAGCTTTGCATTGCATTGCTCTATATAAGGGGAGGCTCCTCTCCCTTTCCAGAGGTTCAGCAATTTTAGGGCTAAACATGTCTCTCTCTCTCTCTCTCTCTCTCTCTATATATATATATATATATTTCTCCCTCTCTCTCTATATTTGTGCTAGTTTGTGCCTTAAAGTAAGTTTTCTTCACATTTTTTCATTAAAGCACCTAGTGAAACACCTTCACTCTTGAGCTGAGGTTCTTGGAGGTTGTATTTGAGTGGTTTTAGCTTGGTTTTACCTTAGAAACTTGCTGTTATTGCTACGCTTCAAGGGTGAGTCTCATATCCTCTTTAAAGCTTTATTTTCATTGCTTATTTGGCCATCCTTGTATATTGGTTTAGGCCTTGATTTCAACTACAAAAGCTTTGTTTTCAAGTGTTTAAGATGGTTGTTTGAGGCCTCTTTGGTATTGAGGATGTTCTACCTTCTTGTGTGTCTTATTTGCTTAGGCTTGGAGCCATCCTTTAAGGCCTTTGAGTTCATCTTTATTTGGCCTTTTCACCACTGAATTCTAAAGGAATTTCAGTGGTGGAAAGTGGGTTTTGAGACCCAAAATGGGAGGGGGTGGTCCCCTCTCCTCTTGTCTTGCATGCATGTGTTGATGGCTCACCAAATGAGCATGTGTTTATGCTCCTTTGTGGCTTTTCTCAAGCTTGTTTTTGTGACTTTTTGGACCTTCCATAACTCTTTTTTTGGCTGGTTTGGTCATTGTTTGCTTACATTTCATACTTGTAGTGCAATCCTCTTAGTTAGCCTAACATGCTCTATGCTTGGACCACCATTTTAGTGTGTTTTTGGCTCTACTCTAGCAAGATTTTACTCATGTTTTGCCATGTTTAAGCTCTATTTTAAGTGGTTTTGGTCATGCCTGCCTTGCTTTGTATAGCCATGGTGCAATCTTGCTCATTAGCTTTGAGTTTCAAAGTCTCTAGCATGCTTTACTTGAGTTGTGTAAAATCCAAGTTGTGTGTAGGATTATTTTATTGGATAGATTAATAATTAAATTAATTTATATGGGTCATTTATTAATATCAGAGAATTAGTTATGAGATGGCATTATATTTCCTATTACTTAGATGGGTAATTTTGTAACTTTGAGAAATTAGGTTAATAAGCCCACCTGTTGTGGCTTTAAGTCTTGGAAAACAAACAAAACAAAGGTTGGGAATTGCTCCATAGGCGGCTAGGGTTTGAGAAGGTAAAAGAAAAAAGAAAAGAAAAAGAGAAGAGAGGTTCAAGTGAGGCTGCAATAGGGATTGGAGGCAACACGTTGGTGATTTTGGGACACCCATTGGTTAAGGTAAAATCTGTCTTTACTGTTAATTATTAAGTTTATGTTGAGGAGCTTCTATGGCGAAAAGCAAATGCGATTGGTGCCATCCTTGGGACGACTATTGGTTGCATTCTTGGGATTATCACTTGGTTGTCAGTTGCGAGTGTTGAGTATGGAAGGGTCAATCTTGACACGACTGGAAGGAATGCACCGATGCTTGCTGGAAACCTCGTGTCCACACTTACTGGTGGAGCAATTCATGCCGTGTGTAGTTTTTTGTGGCCTCAAAACTATGATTGGGATACGACAAAGCAAATAACTATGGTTGAGAAGGAAAAGAGTGAATTGCTAGCTGAGGAGTTCAAGGAGGAAAAGCTGATAAGAGCGAAAGCGTGGATTGTGAAATGGGGTGTTGGTTTTACTGTTGTGATTGTTTTGTTGTGGCCCCTTCTTTCTCTTCCTGCGGGTAAAGTACTCTAGTCTGACTATGATTTGGACCCTAGCCAATGTGGGTTATTTATTGGCACATAAAATAGTTTCTTTTGGGGCTTTACCACTGGCCTATGTGTGGTTCTGGGCCTTGTCACAGGCTAAGTGACCGTAGTCATCAAGAGTTGGGTTTTGTGAATCAAATCATTAAACCATCTGAATATTGAACCATCGATTTGAACGACGAATTTACTTTGAATTATCTTGTTGTATTTTTAATTAAAATGTATTATACATTGTTTATTTTTAGCTATAAAACCATCTTACAAATAATTGTTCATTTATTGAATTGTAGCAAAAATTATATTTATTGGTTATCGACTATATATTTTTTTGTATACTTGATCCAGCTAGCAGTGATGGTTGATTATTTACTGGGCTGTCTAGCTTACCCTTAGATTATCTGTTTTTATGGATTTTAGCATTATGATATTTAAGGATTTAATTTGAGTATTTTACATTGTTGGTTATGTGTTGGACTCTTAGACTTGCACGCTCACTTAAATGAGTGTACGGCATTGTCACGGAGCTTGGGGCGTGACAAGTTGTTTGTATGCTTTGGCCTCACTTCTCACATGATTTCAGTGTGTATAGCATAGTCATACTCTCACATGTGTCACTCTTTCAATGCTTTGGAGGGTTATGCTTTGTGCCTTGATCATGGCCTAATATGTATGCATGCATGCCTAAGCTTTTGGGCTACCATCTCAGCATATTTTTGGTCTTATTTTTCCATGATACAACTCTGTTTTTAGTTGGTTAGAGCATCCCTCATTTGCTTCTTACGCTTGCAGTGTAATCCCAGTTTTTGGCCTTGTATGCTTGGTGTTTTGGCCTTTTATTCTAGCATATGTTGGCTATGTTCAAGCATGTTTTTGGCCTTGTTTTGACCTGCCTTGGGACTGTTTTGAGTCGTCTTGGCCCTTTGGGGCTTGCTTGATATGGCTATGGTGTAAGTGCCTTTGCTAGTCTTGAGTTTTGAGCCATCTAGCATGCCTTATTTGTGGTATTTGGATGATTTGGCATCATTTAACACTTGATTTCAGAGCATATAGTATTGCCATCTTCTCATGTGTATCACTCTTTGATTGTGTTTGAGGGTTTAGCATTGTACCTTGTTTGTGGCCCAACATGTATGCATGCTTGTCTAGTCCTTTGGGCTTCAATTCCAACATGTTTTGGCCACTGATTTGGCATGCATAAGGTTTGTTTGGGGCTGGTTTGATCATTTGAACATTATATTGCATGTCTCTAGTGTTGTGTCCTTCACTAGTTTCATCATTTTAGTCCCTTAACAATGCCATGCATGCATTACTTGCATGATAGAGTCACATGCATGCCATCTTAACATGTCAAGATTAGCATGATTGTTTGCATAACATGTTGCTTGCTTTGCATTGTGTTCAATCGGATGTCGTATTGAACACGAGGAAGATTGGTTCATTTCATACTTGAAGTGATGAAATGAGCCAATCTCCCTTGGTCTCCACTGCCTTTGATCTCTCATGATAAGGAGATGGTCTAAGTGTCTTGTTTGTCATGCATTTATTGAGTTTGTACAAATTGGATCTTTGGTCATCACGCATTGCGATGCTTGATTGATGGTCTTTGATCCAATTATGCCTCCCCCTTGATGTTTTGAGATGATATGCAGGGGCATAGCCCGTACATACCCTTGGGAGACACTCCATTTTCTCTGTTTTGTGCTCTGCTGCAGCTTGGTGTCACAGCACACCAGTGGCCGGCACCCTCTTATTGTTGGCCAGCAGCTCTTTATCTGTGGCCGACAGTGTGCATCCTTGGTCGGCAGGGGGGTCGGCAGCCACCATTCATGGCCGGCAGGCCACTAGTACACTCCTCAGCACTGTTTTGGTGAGATCCAGCAGCAAGTTCTTGAAGACACCCTACAAACCAAGCCTGTAAAGAGCATTT